GACCATCAATTACCTACTTTCTTCCTGAATATTTTCCTGTATTTGGCATATTTGCTATGAATATATCATTACACTTTTACAAGCTGGATAGCCACTGCACTTTCGTCTTTCAGCTAGAAAAGCATTGCATATTCTGCAAGGAAAAATAATTTCTTACAGGTAACTGAGGTAATTACTTCTAAGCATTGAACGCACCTCATAAGATGATCAACATATTTTTGTGTGGTATGTCCCAGAAACGTCCAGGAAAACAATCCGCTGCCCCCGTGGCAATGTAGTACTTCTGAGGGATGCTAGAATGACTAGACTGGGACCTGTGCTTTTATTTATCCACCAGACGGGTACAGGCAGTGGCACTGAAAGCTTTCCCTCGCTTCTCTGCCTCGACTGTTGGGTAGCTGGTTAGTATTCTTGGGTTTTCTGATCTTGTAAGGGGAGGTCAGGGAGAAGACGCTTATGCTATTGATTTTCATAGCTCCTTTTAAAAGAGAAGTAGCCTGAGTTGGGTCATCAGAGAAATCTGGAGAGTAGAAAGTATACTGAGAGAAGAGGCATTTTCTTCAGCTCCCGGCTGCTGCTCTTTGTACCTTGCACTCCTCATACACATGAGGCAGCTCATGGAACAGATAGTTCTCACTCTGAGTAAAAAAAAAAAAAAAAAAAAAAATTTAATTTTCCTTGTGTGTTTTTGATGAGTACAGTTTGTAGAATTCTGAAAAATGGAAACTCTTGATGAGACATGGCCAACAAAATGCCTTTTTGTGCTCCTGACTTGCAACATTATTAGCCTTTCTTCATAGACAGGGCCAGATATCAAAGAGGCTTACAAAGCTCAATCTGAAAAATACAGTATTTTAAAATATGATGGTAAAAGATAGAATTCACTATTGTAAGGGTTTCACTCAATTCCTCAACTAGCAAAAATGTTATGAGGTAGGTAAAATACCACATTTCAGGATAGGGGCAACACATTCAGAGCAAAAGATGTCTGTAATTAGTTTCATAAGTGGAGATAAATATGTTATGGTAGAGCAGCAGCAGCTGGAAAATGGCAACAGAGCATGCTCAGAAAAACTGAAGGCAAAAGGCTGGAGATCTAAGTACTGGCTGCCACAGTTTTTGTTGTCGTCAAACGCATTAATTCTCACTGGGTTGGAATATTAGAGTCAGTGGACTGATTTCTAATTTCATGCTCATATTCATGCAGACCTCATGAACTTCAGAGGAATTGTACGCACAGGACAGCAATAAATTAAAACCTGGAGCTTGAACTGGAAATACTATATTATAGAATGATTAATGGCTTAATTTTTAATTTTGAGTTCATAAATAACTAGATTTCATTAAATGGCTGTAGTGTGCTTAGTGCACGTTGTGCATCTGATTGGGTGGTTGGGGTTTTTTAACCTGATTTCTTAATAAAACAAGGCTTATGCAATCACACTGTCTTTGTCATTCTTCCTTCTAATGGCTTTTGAACTTGGTGGCTCATTTCAGTGGCATTTAACAGGGAGGTAGAAGTCTCGAAACAGTTTAATCATTAGGACTTCCATGAATGTAGAAAGCTGGGTAAAGGAGAAAAAACGCAGTGGTCCTTCTACGGAGAGGCACATGGTATCTTTTAGATACCGGTGAATCCCTGTGAACGTGGAGCCTCAAGCCGCAACTCCGTACCCAAGAAAGCTGTAGGACATCTGCCTCCTTGCCCTTTGTTTGAGAGGTATATAACAAGGGAGGGAGCCCAGAAGGATGCAAAGCATTTAAGAGCTTTCTCATCAGAGAAGATAAAGATGAATACTATGGGGAGCGGCCTCTGACTTTATGAAAGCCAAAGGACCCTGCAGGATAAGGCACTAGAGGGCAAGGAGACTGTGCCGTTTGGTTTGAGCTGGGCTTCGCGCCGGTGCTGTCCTGCAGCGCGGCTGTGAAAAGCAGGCGCCTGGCGAGGATGTGAAAGCGGGGGAGTACTAAAGCTGGCGGCAGTTCTGAGTGCGGCCGCATGGGAGGAGATGGGGGGTTTTGTGGTGAAACATCAATGTCATGAAGTTATGAGGTGCTTTAGGAAAAGAAGGGAGAAAAAGAGAGATTTTACCAGCAGATCTTTGAATATGCGGATGAGATGAATATACTTTAATAAAAGAAAAAATGAATAGTGCTGGGACTTGCTGTCTTAAGCTAGGGCAGATGTTTAGTTCCTAGACACTTCACTTTGCTGATCTTAATATACTTGTCAGATGCAGAAGTGTTGCTTCTCCTCGTTCCAGCAAGTACTGATTTCCCCATCCTCTTCCCTGCCTGACAGTGGGATTCAACAAAACAGATGCTGACCACTGTTTGCCTGTTGGTCAGCGCCTGAGTTTCCTGGCTGTCCTACATGGGCAGGAAT